GGGGTTTAGGGGTTTAAGGGTGTAGGCTTTGGGGTTTAGGGTTTAGGGTTTAGGGGTTTAAGGGTGTAGGGTTTGGGCTTTAGGGTTTAGGGTTTAGGGGTTTAAGGGTGTAGGGTTTGGGGTTTAGGGTTTAGGGGTTTAAGGGCGTAGGGTTTGTTATGCGGTGTCTTGGTTTTTTTGGAGGAGCCAGAAAACTACCGCAAACTTCTGCAACACCCTAAGCCCTACGCCCAGGAAGGGCCGATATTTCGAGTATCGCTTGGAGAAATGTACACTATAATTAGTATAGATCGCCCAGGCTAACTGCTGACACTCGAAATTGGGGAGTGCAAACGTCAATGTAGTGTTCCAAGATAAGTACCGCATATACGGCAACTACGATCCAGACTGGTGTCTCTTAGTTCTTCAAGCTGCCAGATCCCTTCGACGAGTTTGGGGCTTAAGCTCTTGGATTCAATCCCATGCGAACCCTTACCAAAAACCTTACAGCACCCGTATGCACATAAAGCCCCCATGTCCTAAACCCTCAACCCTAAACCCTCAACCCTAAACCCTAAACCCTCAACCCCAAACCCTAAAACCCTCAACCCTTAACCCTAAACCCTCAACCCAAAACCCTATAAACCCTAAACCCAAAACCCTCAACCCTAAACCCTCAACCCAAAACCCTTAACCCTATATAAACCCCAAACCCTATAAGCCCTCAACCATAAACCCTATAAGCCCTAAACCCAATGGACCCTAAACCCTCAACCCTAAACCCTCAACCCTAAACCCTCAACCCTAAACCCTCAACCCTAAACCCTCAACCCTAAACCCTCAACCCTAAACCCTCAACCCTAAACCCTACAAAGCCCAAGCCTGAGCTGTAGTGTCGAAAGTCGGAGGCCACCTGGAAAGCCACGCTCACTGGGCCAACCTCAGGTTGAAATCTGTCAGGCAATTGCTGTGGTGGGTACAGGGCCCTAAACCCTAAACCCCTAAACCCCTAAACCCTAAACCCTAAACCCTAAACCCCTGAACCCCTTAACCCTAAACCCATAAACCCTAAAGGTTTAAGGATTGGGTTTAAGGGTTTAGGGTTTAGAGCCTTTAGGGTTATGGCATGTAGCGTTTAGGGTGTAATTAGGGCTTAAGGTTTGCTGCTCCGTAGGTTGGGACTCCTGAATCTCATTTTAGGGTCAGGATTCATAGGGCTTTCTGATAAAACCATCTAAGGGTTTGATGAGGTATGTAGGATTAAATAGTAATCGTAGCTCCTTGCAGTTCCCATGTCCATACGTTGGGACTCGTTGAAGGACTCCTGTTCTTTGGGTTCTGTAGGGCTCATATTGGTACATAAAGGGCCCTATTGCTAATAATCGCTCCTTTTCTTCCCTAGAACACTCCTCCACAGTAGACCCGGTTGTAACCATTCATATTTGCAACCAGGGCCCCTAAGGTGCCCAAAGCTCTCCGAAAGAGGCCCCGGTACCTCCTAGAAGGGATCCTGATCCTCAAATTTTCCTTCGAGGGCCCAGATCCAGGGTCGAGGATAGGGCTTAGGGCTAAGGGTTCAAGGGTTACGAGTGAGAGGGCGACCACCTGAACCCTAAAAATGTAGTGCTTCGGTTGGTTACCTTTGTTTGTCATCATTGGGTCCGAACCAAAAAACAGGCTATCCTGTAACAGAAAGGTAGTACACTCTGGGGTCTAGGTATGTTAACAGCTCAACCGAAACAACAGTCGCTACAATAAGACAGAACTACAAGTGCACGAGATATTTCAAGAAAGGGGATCTCTAAACAGGGTTCTGACAGAACCAGGACGTGTAATCAGGTTTGCGACAGGAATCCGAAGTTACTTTCAAGTTACTTTCATCAAAACCCTAAACAAAGAAAGAGGGGCCTAGTCATACTTTCTACCACCCTCACCTGGACCCTGAAGAACAGACGTTTTTCAGCATGCATATAATTATGAGGTAAAAAAATGAGAACCTCAAAAAAGGTAGGTTTTCTGTGGTTCAAATAAATCCTAAATGCGTAAAGACAGCCTCCCCAAAGCCTCGATACCTGCTAAACAGCCTTCCAGGGCACTAAAGCAATCGCGCGCTTCAGGGCCTGCTCATCTCCGGCAGTAATGTTTACGGATCCACCTCGCGCCCACAGCGAGAGAAAGGAAGAGCGCCAAGGCGTCACTTCCCGAGCCCTACTGTACCACAAGCCAACGCCCCAAATCATCCCTAAAGCCTTAGGCCGGAAACCCCATATCCCACAGCGAAACCCTGAACCCGAAGCCCGACTGCTCCCAGAGTACAACGCCAAGAATACGAGATTGTGTCCTTCGCCTCTGGTTAGCATTTGCAACCCACGTCCCGAACCCGAAACTCAGGCCCTTTGCCTGGGAGTTGTTGTAAGTCCCCCAGCAAACCCTAACAAACAAGGAATCTTAATGCGGAAACCCCACGCGAAAGCACAAGTGTATAAGGGTGCTACTGAGCGCAGAAGCACGGAGACCCTGTACACCGAAAGCCTCAAATCTATGGGGTTGTTAGGATTTGGGATATGGGAGTTTCAGAAAATTAGGGTACCTTATTTGGGGGTCCTTATAATAGGGATCCTATTATTTAGGGTACTATATTAGGGTCACCTATTTTCGGAACTCCCCATATAAGGTTCAGGGTTCGGTATTTCTAGGGGCCAATACTTCCTTGGTCGATAAGGAACTGTTACTGTACGGATGAATGACCTCGTGGTGCACTTGGGGGGATGAGTACGATGTACCCCGGTAAACTATAAGAATGCCTCATGGTCGCTGAATCATATAATACACTATAGCATTATATACTCTAATATGCGATATTACAATAAATTATAATGTTGAATAGTAAAATAGAGTGAAAATACTATGATGTAGCATGGTATCAAATTATGAAATACAACAACAAACAACAATAATATAGTAGACTGTAGTATATAATAGCATAGCATCGTGTATATACAAACAAGCTTGATACAGTATCGATCCTGGACCCTCCCGGGTCCCCTAAACCATAAACCATAAAACCCTAAACCACCCGAAACCATGAACCCCGAAACCCTAACCACAAAGCCCTAAACCATAAAAAACCCAAAGCCACCCTAAACCCCACGGCTAAGCCCCAAGCCCGGAGCCCAAAGCCCAAGGAGCCTGGAACTTTCACCCCGATGCCAGCAGACCTCGGCTCCTCGGCGAAGGGCAGCGGCAAAAAACAAACACTCAGCTTATCACGGGTTTACATCGGGTTTAGAATTTAAAGTTTAAGGTTTAGGGTTGTGGGTTTGGGGTCCAGGGTTCTGGGTTCAGGGGTTAGGGTTTAGGGCTTTGGATTTTGCGTTCAGGTTTCGGTTCAGGGTTTACGGTTTTGGGTTTAGGTGTCGGTTTAGGGTTTGTGGTTTACGGTCTGGGATTTTATGGTCTCGGGTTCAGGGTTCAGGATATTTTGCTTAGGGCTCAAAGTTTGGGTTCGCGACACACGACACACACGACCGTCGAACACAAAAATACCATGCATGTTGTCCTTGAGAGTCACGAAACGACAGCTCCAACATCCAGCGTGCACCAGCCTACTGTTGCGAAAACGGGCGGCGGCAAGGAACTTCTTCTATCCTGGCAGCTTCAGATCTTCGCGCGTTGTCACAACCGGTCACACAGGCTGTGCTCGTTGCACTCACGTCTCGGTCTTGGTGCAGCAGACGTAGGCCCAAAAGCAAAATTGTGCCACGCCGGTGTTACGCAGAAACAGAAAGAAGAGGAGCCGAGCCAGCCACAATTCAAGAGCGTTTATTTTTTTGCAGGCGGCAGCCAGTGCCAACCATCAGACAAGACTTTCACACCGCCGCGGACTAAAGAAATGCTCCTTGCATTGTTTCTCCCGAGAGCCCCTTCCTCACATTATCCGCACGAGCATCTCGCAAAAATTGAAATCTTCGCTGTGCTGACCCCAAACTGGCATCCGACGTCTTCTGGCCAAGATTGTGGGTTCATGGTTTCGGACCTAAGGGTGTTCTTCAGAAAAAATTGGGCTTCTGAACGTTCAAAGTTCAGACTTGCCAGTGCACAGCCGAACAACGATGACCAATAGTGACACGCCATGGTGGTGCACCCGATGCCTCTGGACCAAAAAGAAGCTCCCAAGACAGTTCCACGCATGTGCTGCCCATTGCTGCCAAATTTTGGCTGCAGAATGTTGCGGCGTCCGGTGCTTGTGCAATCTTTTGTGTTGCACGCTTTGGTATATTTGTTTCACTGGGTGCATCGGGACACAGTCGCCTCCGTGGTGCGCGCGAAGGCGTCGGATATGTTTATTACGTCAATCCGATAGATCCTGAGTCTGCGACATCCGACAGTTACAAGTCTAATTTTACAAGTATGTCAAATTCAGTTTCCTCCAACTCTGCGACGAAGACAGGAGAACGCAAAGAAGCACTCATGGCGATGGCAGGCAAAAAGGCTCCTTGAATGTTGCCAGCGAAACACGGCAGTGTAAACCCCTGCCGCCGGTGGCCGGCATGCCACCCTGTCACACAGATGTGTACTGAGAGCCGAGCCGCAACATATATCGTCGTTGAAGTGCCGATAAACAGCTTTTTTGATCGGTTTAACTCAATGCGGCTTGTGTCAAGCTGGGCTGGACGTTTTTCAATTAATATTACCTTGATTTCGGATTGAGGGGCTTGGTGCATTATGGCAATTTCTATTACGGCAATGAGCTCTTGATATTGACGTGCAAAAATGCAAATGCAGTTCCCCATGTTCCTCCTGTCGCACGCTTCTGCTAAGTCCGCCAAGTACTCTCACAGAGCTGCCCGGGAAATGCGACTTCCTGTGAAAGCGAACAGCACATCCGCCGTATGACGCCGACGGTCCAAGTGACTCGTCCTCAGACACCTTGTTCTTTGCTGGCTGCTTGCATTTGTTACGTTGTACACGTGTCTGTCAGAGGCTGCCGAGCACCGCGCGGTCTCTCTTGGAAGTGGCCGCCACAGGGTTTGCTCAAAAGTGACAGACGCACATTGCGTTGTCTAGTGTCTCTCGCTGAGGTGTTTGCCGCTGCGACGACATATCCGGTCGTCTTTGGGCACATTGGCCTCCGCATCAGGCCTCAACCAGACGGCAGCGCTGACGGCAACGCACTGACGAGCTGCTTCTCGTGGCATCCGGGTTGCGTGCGGCCGATGCTCGGAGAGGTGTGTGTGATCCGTGATCGTCTGAATTGTGTGCCCTGCACAGTTTAGGGTTTCGGGTTCAGTAAGCCACAAAGTGCTGTATGGATCGCTGCAGACCCTTGTAGAAGCCTTTCATACCCTCCGCTTGCAGTCAGGGAGCGAAGTGGAGGCCCTCAGTCAAGTTGCTGCCCTGTCCAGGAGTCCCTATACCCTAAACCCTAAAACCCCAAATCCTAGAACCCTAAACCCTAAACCCTGTTCAGAAACCATATTAGGATTCCATGTGCATATGATTTATTCCTTGATCAAGGGATTTTGGAAGGTCTGGGTTTCTTTCGCCTTTGCCTAGGGATTTGGGGTGTTAAGGGATCTTGGGGGACTTTTGGGACCTAGAGCTTCAGGGTTTTGGGGCTTTGGTGCTTTGAAGGTTGTGGCTTTAGGGGGGTTGTTGCATGTCCCACATGTAGTTTGTTTGAAAACCAAACTTGGCTAAACTCCAAACCGAACCTCAAACCCTAGTAGCCAAACCGACACAGAGCCTGACTGCCGGGCCTTAAAGGAGCATTTCAGCGTCTTCGCTTTGTACGGGTAGTGAAACTCCGTGGACAACCCGCCGGCGCTCCTGACGTGCGCGGAGGGTTATGGGTTTAGGGTTTAGCGGCTTTTTCCGTTTCCGGCCTCAATCATCGGATTTCTAGAGTACAAGGTTTTGTGGGGTTGCACGATGTCTTTATGTAGTGGTAATGGAGTTTTATCGGTAGATAGGTATGACATGAAAACTGCGTATGGGGACTACTAATGTAGACCCCTGGCTGGTAAACCCCAAGGGGGTATTCAACGATCACAGGTCGACATCACCAATCAATGTTTCACTAGGTGTAGGTTTTTAACAGTCCCCAAGTGGTTTCAGAAATAGCGTTCTATATTAAACGATAAAGGAAGCTGAAGCTTATCCCAAATCGGTACCTAACAAAAAACCCGTTAAACCCCAAAACCTCAGCATCTGGTTTGGGGTTGAGGGGGTCCCGGGCCTTATAGGGCTTTAGGATTTTCGAGTCGCAGGTGCTTGAGAGGTTTAAACTGAAAGGCGAAGGTTTGAGGGTTTAGGGCTCAGGTGGTAATTAGGATGGTTTAGGGCTAGGCCTTAAAGAGTTCCTTTTAGGGATCTATACGGGCTCTAAGAGTTTAGGACGGTTTGGGGCTAGGTAATGGCAAAGGGTGGGATAGGCATAGGATTATTGAAATGATTTGATTAGGGATAGCGTGGTTTTAGCAAATGGGCTTATCAGGGCTATTGGGGGTCTGCGTGTCAGACTTCGTACACGTGTGTGTGTGTGTGTGTATGTATATATATATATATATACAGATATTCTTACCTGCAAACAAAAAACCGAAAAAACAAAACGTCTCTGTCTCTCTCTACACACACACACACACATATATATATATATATATGCTATATATATATACATATTTACTTATTTATTTGTATATCCACACATGCATATGTGCACGAGGCGCTTCGAAAGCGTTTATGACTCCGTGGTTTGGTGGATTCACTCCAGACTTCGAGTTCAGGGCTTAGGGTTTGGGCGATGTTTGGGTTTTGCTGGGTTTAGGGTTCAGGGGTTGGGGGCTTAGGGTTTGGGGGGTTTAGGATTTAGGGGTTGAGGGGTTGGGGGTTTTGGGTTTGGGGATTTAGGGGTCGAGTCTAGGGTTTAATTTAGGGTTTAGGGTTTAGGGTTTAGGGTTTAGGGGGTTGAGGGCTTCTAGTGCCGCACAGCCCGGCCCGACCTGGCCTGACGTACTCGAAGGCCTGCGCAGGAAGACCTCCATTGCCTTTCCCCAAGAAGGCTTAGCGTTTCGAGCTCGGGGTTTGTTTAAGGTTAAGGGTTTTGGGGAATTTGTAGACTTACAGATCGAATTTGTATTCTGAGGGTCGGATCTTGAAACTCACTGATGTGCCAGTTGAATTGAACCACAATCTCAACGGTAGAAGGTCTTTCGTCCTACAAGTAGCCTGTTAATGTTTGCGGGTTCGGCTACGAAGCTGGAACTGCTTGAATCAATGCTTTGGTGCTTCCGATGTTTCGAATGTTGTAGATGCGCAAGAAGGCACGGTACTGTGCTTCTCAGAGTTATTGCATATGCAGACGCACTGTAGTTATGGCACTTTCAGCTTCTGAAAGTATGGTGGCTGGCAGCATCTTCAGCAACTGCAAGCACCCAAGCATTGCATGTGACGTACATCATCGTGATTACGTGATTAGAGCGAAGAAGTGCTGGGCTGAAAGCCGTTTAACAAAACACCGCAGCGTTGCCTACCCATAGGCCCCATAGTAGTTCCTTTTCGGGGTTCATATTTAGAATCCTATAAGGTAATCCCCAAAAGGAACTGCTATGGGGCCTACGGGTAGCCTGCAATAGCACTCGCAGCATGCTCCTGCACAGAACATTATCAGTCATGCCAGGCCTTAGCAGCGATGATAGCACAGACGTGCTGCAAATACACATCTGCACTAAATAGGAGCACAGCAGCACAGAAACAAAAACACATAGAAAAGCAGCATCATCACGCGACAACATCAGAACTTGTACAGTTCATTCCACTTCAAGCATGTGGAGATTCCCTCCCCACACCCCAACCTTAGTTCTCGCTTCCTGCCTACTCTCCGAGGCATATGCGTATTACACTATTAAGGGGATACCGTTCGCGAGTATTTCGACCCCTCTACTACGACCAAACCTGGGAGAAATAAGGACCTTCAACGAAACACAGACGAACTCTGGCCCCGCCCTACACCCTAAACCCCAAACCCAAAGCCCCTACCCTAAAGCCTAAACCCCTAGACCCTAAACCTGAATTTCGGAATGGTGGACCACGAACCCGTTCAGCCCGACATCCGTTGACCTGAAACTCTTGCACAGGAGTTTTTCGCGAAGACCAGCTAACAAATATTGAAGGTTTGGCGCTTAGGGGCCGGTTTTGGGTTTACGGATTTAGGACTCAACAAGGAAT